GCAGTACAAGTTAATTGCAAACGATTCAGAGTATATAAAAATATAGAAACTAAAATAGGTATTTCATAACCCTACTACCCAGAAATAATAGTTTTTAATATTTTACATATATCATTCTAGACATTCTTCTGTGCACACATATACATTTATTCACATTCTTGAACAAAAATTGAATTATTCTGTGTGTACTGTTTTAAAACTAGATTTTAAAATTAAAATAACCTTTCTCTTTCTTCTTTTCTTCCTCCCTCACATTTTTCTTTCTTTTTTTTTTTTCTTTTCTTTTCTTTTGCATCAGAATTACTCGACAGATTGTTAAAACAGATTGCTGGGCCTCACCGCTAGAGTTTCTGACTCAGTAGGACTGGAGTAGAGCCTGGGGAATTTGAATTTCCAAATTAATATGTAGAGATTTCTTTATTAAATAGAGAGCTACAAAATTTTTCCTCCATTGTGTAGTAATACTATAATTCCTTTATGTAATCCGTTGATGTTTCTAATTTTTATTAGAACATTCTTAATATATTAATGAACATTCTTAGTATATTTCTTTGCATACTTGACCTGTTGTTTCCCCGATGAATTCTTACAAGTGGTGAGAGGGGGAATCAAAGGCTTACTTACTTTTAATTAATTTTTAATTAAAAATTTGCCTCACTGCTATGTGTGAGGAACTATGCTATGCCCTGGGAATATAACAGTGAGTATTGCAAATCTACTCTCTGCTCTTGTGGCACTTACAGTTTAGTGGGAAAGACATGTTAAACAATCAGACAAATAAATATATGATAAAACGTGGTACAACTTAGAAAAAGCAAAGGGTAAATGAAAGTTTACAATCTTTAAAAGGTCTTTATCTTTTAGAGATATATACCAAAGTACATACGGAAGAAATAGCATGATATTTGGGGTTTGCTTCAAAATATTCCACAGTTGGAGGTGAGGGAAGGTGGTGGGAGTATAGCTGAAACAAGATTGGCCAGATGTTGATAATGGCTGAAGCTGGTGGTTAATTATGCTCTACTTTTATATGTTTGAAATTATCCATAATCAAACGTAAAGATGGAAAGAGAGATTATAATCTGGTCTACACTGGGGGGCCAAGGAAAGGCTCCTTTTAGGAAGAAACTTTTCAGCTGAGACCTTTGTGATGTATAGGAGTTGACCAGGCTACAAGTGGTGGATGGCAGTTGGGAAAGAGCTTTTTAGGTAGTGGGAACAGCATGTACAAAGGCCAAAAGCCTTAAGTAAAGAAAATGTTTTCAGGAAATGAAAGAAGACTGGTATCATCGGAGTTGAGGGCTGGGGAGGTAGGCATGGGCCAGATTGTATAAGATCGTGGAGACCATGTTAAGGATTTTATGCTTTAATCCAACAGTGATAGAAGGAAGCCTTCCATAGAAGGGTTTTAAGCAGCCTCGTGAAGGCGATGTTCGCTTCGTTAAGACCTCAAGCTGACTGTTTTGTGGAGAATGGTTTTGGTTGGAGTTGGAAGAGAAGGAAATATAAAAGTGGAGAGACATTAGGAGATTATTGCACTAATCTAAGAGATCTGGTGGTTTTGGATTAGAGAAATAGTGTTGCAGATGGAGAGAAGAGATACTGATTTGTGAGATATTTTGGTCTTGGTGATGGTATAGATATGAGAGTTGAAGGAGAGAGGTATCAAAGATGTTTAAATTTCTGAATGATGCATGTGAGTGGTCAGCGGTGTAACCGACTAAGGGGGAGAACAAATGGA